TTTTGGCGGTAGCAATGAGGCGACTTTCGCTCAATCCCAGTGATGATGGCAAGTGCCCGGCGTGTTCTTTAGTCATCCACGCTTAAATTTTCATTTCTAAATGTTCCTCAAAACTTCCTGCACAAACTACCAACGAGCCAAAAATACCGTTTTTTCTATGCTCCAAAATTTATGGGTCCGACGCTTGTAAAGGTGAAAGGGCGTCTTTTAATTTTCAGTTTATTCATATTCAAAACTAAACATGTTTTTTGCGGTTGATGAATTCTTTCCCAGCGGACAAATTAGAGGCAGTCTCAGATACGCATTCATGGTAAACAAGTAGGAAACGCACCTCATTTATACTGTCGCAGAGTAATCCGACAACGACGGTTGGACTGATTTAGGCCGTTTGCCGGCCACCTCTTGAAGATGCATATTTACGGCATTGTAACCGTACTACAGTTGAGGTGCTAAACTGAAAGCATTTTGTACACAACTTGACATCTTGCCTGCTTGAAATGAGAAATATAAACCTAGGTTCAAAAAGCCGACAATGAGGTAGATACATTCCAATACAATATTTCAATCACAACTTCGAGAATAATTCCAAATGTTCTGTGAAAACGCCATTTGTGGTGTGACGTATCGCACGGTGTTGAGAGAAAACTGAGATGCTTGCGTTTTTTCAAAGCACATTTGAATATCTGGTTCATTTTTTGGGATCTTGTATCTAAGTCGCTACTGAAATTGGTCTGAAAGTGTGCCCTAGGATAGGATCACGTGAAGTATCGATTTAGGTAACGTGCGTGATTAAAAACCAGTGATATACCACTGGTGATTTCTGCCAAACTGGATAACTGGTGTGCTTAAAGTAATTCAGCAATCAGTTAGGAGGATGATGGATGTAAAATTTAACAACATACTTATTACTGTTCCGACAGCAACNGAAAACAGTATGCATCATTATGTATTGTGTCTTGGACTGCGATCAATTCAACTAATAGCGATACCCGAAAATTCCCGTGCTTACCTCTTCACTCCAACAGTCTATATCAGCCATTTCCTCCTGCAACTGAACGAATCACTAGTTTGTGGGGGAAAATCCGATAATACATCACTGGTGTCCACAAAAAACAACGGTAGCTATACCATTCTTACAATTGGCGGCTTGTACAACAAGGGCTTATCGCAAGAGCACTAGATGTAAACTGCTGGTTTATTCAAAACGAATCTATTGACCGCCGTTTTACGAACTCCCAAATCAAAATACATTGGATGCGTCCACGTGAATCATGAGATTAATTCCACCAACGCGGCAAATCCTGAAGTTCACGCTGCTCCATTTCATGTATTCACGTACGATGCTTAGTTACAGTAAGCCTACATAAACAATGAAACGACTGCGCGGCTTTCGGCCAGGTGAAGGAATCGGATCCCTCGGGGGCTCAACGGGAATTGGAATGTGCGAAATGGTTTAGTTAAATCTTTTGAGGTACATTCGAATCGGAGCTGCTCATAAGTTAACCTCGCTTACATCCACAAAATAATAGGTGATTCACAAGGCGAAACTATGAAACCCGGAATCAACTCGCGTAGTAGGATCAAACTTGTTTAGTTTCCCGCGCTTCGGACGCAGTGTCGGTTGATCTTGTTTACCCTTATTTAAGGCATGGCTCATGTTTTCTCATCCTGTGACTTTTTCAAAAGCAATATTTCAACTCAAGTCGAGAAGCTTTCGCTCAGGAACCTAATACATTTGCTATGCACGCATATCCAGCTGCGCTGGTCACTGCGTCGCCAGATTTGCACAACCAGAATGGCGAAGAAGCAAGGGGGCAGTCTGTTTAATTACAGCACATGGGTCCATGCTGTTTGTATGGAGAATGATCCCGTGTAGGAAAACCGCTTTTGTCCTGTTCGCTACATTTTGTGAACAATCATGTCAGCTAAGAGGGCTGGAAAACACAATTGGAAGTGTTTGACGCCTGTTGTGGTGGAAGCTGTGGAAAAAGTATGCAGTTTTGTAAGATTATTAGAAGAGAAATTACTTCTTGGACTATGGACTCATCAAACTGTCCCACTGCGAAATAGGACTTATTGATTGATTACGTAGAACTTCTCCCGGGACCGCATATTGCCGAGAGAATAGGCTCAAGGAACTGACTTGTTTTCGACGCCAAAGGCTTTCACTGCAACGGCGCACACAATGTCACACGCTTCCATATCGCGGAGGTGTGAGAAAACATGCACGATGGCGCCGGAATCGTTCTGCTTGTTCTTGATTGCGAGAAGTCGGAGAACATGTGGAAATTCCCAGTATGCTGGCCTACTGATCGTCGACTACTAAGTGACGTGATTTCATAAATGAAATGTCATACTGTCGCAAGAGACCAGCTAAGCGGAATTCCCCACAAAGATCTATTAAAAACTGAAACGTATTCGCCCTCATGTTGAACGGTTCATCTGGATATCTCAACTTTGTTAGTAACTCTCGTACATTCGAGAAAAAAATTAGTGCGTCGACCCAATCCATGTTAGCCAGCGATGGAAACAGAAGGCTGCCGTTCGCACAAATTCTAAGCCCCGGCATCTTTAGCGTTATCTTCGTAATCGGGCCAATATGATTGTCACTGGAATTACGAGCTGCTGCATGTGGAATTGCCACGAACATTTTGTGCGTCACTAGATGTTTGATCCGAAAAAGAAAGAAAGAGCAGGTTAAACAGGCTTCAGGAAGCGATCCCAAACCAATACGTTTCAGCCTTTCAATAATAATTCAAGATTTCTCTCCCTTTCTTAGTGTCGGATAACCGAAAGGCAGCTTATTTCACCTTCATTATGAAGATGTGAGTGTGCCAAATATTATAAGAAAAGTTTTTGAAATGGGTCCAGATATATGGGGAGGGTGCATCGGGCGCTGCTGGTTAAACCGACCCGAGTGGAGTTGGCCCACTGAGAATTACTCAAACGCCAACAGCAATGCCGCTCTACTATAATCCTGAGTAAATTATTAGAAATTCACCTATTACCAAAGAGTGCAATGCAACGACACCTGAAAGCGCAACTGAGATAGCGGACAGTGTATCCGTGACCTTGTCAAAATCGTCATAACACCTATGTTTGCGGGACCATGTAAGTATCTTTTGGGAAATATCTGCATGGAAACAAAAATGGTGACTTTCCAAACCTTCCTCGTGTTCGTGGTCTGTGAAAACAACCGACAAGTACGAGATTGGACAGAGTTTGAATGGGACATCAGTCTTCGCCAGTGCCCTGGAAACTGTATGTTGTGGGGCAAAGTCAGATTGGAAACACATGCAGTGCACCTCGGGGTCCGGACACAGAATTATATTTTTAGGAATATACGTAGAAAAACAGTAGGTTGCGATTCATATTCACAGCTCGCAGGATAACCTGCTACCGAACGCCAAAGCACCACGGCCTCATTGAACAGTAGTCAGCATCAAGTGTCGAAGAATGAAATCTCCGATGAATAACATCTTTTGGATGGAAGTGGGAGGAATCCAAAGTGATGCGTGCTGGCATGAAGCCAAGTGGTTTGGCGGGATATAACATTGCAAGTGTCACTGTGTCAAGTGAGCATTCTTCAACAAACTGTTCATTGTGAGTAGTAATATTCATGCAAATCAGCAGTCAGGTGATGTCCAGTGTTGGCCGTCAGTCCGAACACAGTTGGCGATCCATTGCCAATGTATCATTTACGAACTTACGTCCGATTTCATTAGATTTGGAATATAGGATTTAACGCAAATCAGCATGAAAATAGGAACTCACCGTGATTCGCTACGCGGAAGGTGTCGCGGAAATCACTTTGAGGTATGTGACCTCAGAACGCTCTCTAGTCTTGCCTTACAATTTGCTGGAAGTACGAATTAATTCGTATTGTGATTTTGTTAGGTTGAGTCTGATATGGTGTGTATAGTCGCTCAGGTTTTTGAGGATAACTTATAGCAATGTGCTAACTTAAGTAAAATGAGGACTAGACACAAACTTTTGTGGTCTACGTCTTTCAGTCTGGATGGAAGTTTTGTTTGTAGCAAAGGTCTCGTCACCCGCAAAACGCGGTTATTCGCGGTCGCATAATAGGTCCCCTAGAA